TCTATCATCTGACTGGAGAATATAGTTTTTACTAAAGGTAAAAAGTGATTTGAGAATGTAGAAAATGGTGCAGTTCAAGAGCAGGTTTCTTAGAACAGAAGATGGAGAAAGCAGAGAAGTGGAAATACAATGTCTAGAATCTTTAGTTTATAAGCCAATGGCAATTCTGAGAGTCTCTGATCTAACTTTTGAACACATTATCAGCTAAAGTCTCCTTTTAATAAAATGAAATCACCACAAGGGAATATTACTTAGCTATAAAGAAGAACGAAATTATGTTATTTGCTGGTAAATGGATGGAACTGGATACTATCATGCTAAATGAAATAAGCCAATTCCAAAAGACCAAAGGCTGAATGTTCTCTCTGATATGTGGATGCTAACATACAATAAGGTGGAGGGGGGAGGAAAGAATAAAAGTTCATTGAATTAGACAAAGGGGAATAAATAGAAGGAAGGGAGGGTGAATGGGAATAGTAAAGCCAGTAGAATGAATCAGACATAAATTTCCTATATTCATATATGAATACACAACCAGTATAACTCCACATCGTGTATAACCACAAGAATGGAAAGCTAAACTGAGTGTGGTGGTGCACACCTGTAATCCCAGCAGCTTGGGAGGCTGAGACAGGAGGATCACAAGTTCAAAGCCAGCCTTCGAAAAAAGCGAGGTGCTAAGCAACTCAGTGAGATCCTGTCTCTAACTAAAATACAAAAATAGTGATGGGGATGTGGCTCAGTGGTCGAGTGCCTCTGAGTTCAATCCCTGGTAACCTCCCCCGCCCAAAGAAAGAGTGGGAAGCTATACACCATGTATGTATAATATGTCAAGATACATTCTTTTGTATGTTCTAACTAAAAAGAACAATTAAGAAAGAAAAAAAAGATGAAATCATAGATTTACTAGTATAGCCTGTAATGTGGTTGACTTCAATGAAATCTTTCTTTCTTTATTTATTCTTAGTCAACTTAGAAACTGGCTACAGTTTCTATTAAAAAATACACTTGTTGGTACTTTCTGAGGAACTTTTATCTCAAGCTGAAGATATCTTTGCTCAGTTCACTAGGGAGACATCATGCTGTGGTTTGCCTACTTTATCCTCTTGTGGAAATACTACACTGAAGGGAAACTTAAAATAGCAATAAGAAATCAGCTTACATTTAGCATCAAATACCGATCCAAGATTAATAACAGGCTGGTATTTTCTGCTTCACTGAGACACACTGCAAGACTGAAAAAATATGGCCCTGTTATATCTGTCTTCAGAAGGAGTCACCAAGGAATCCCAAAAAAGCCACTGTTAAAAGTAATTTGTTGGCTTTCTGATGTCTCAGGCTCATTATTGTGATCTAAATATCAGCCTTTGGTACTATTTTTCTGGGTAGGTCATTAATGAAAAAAAAAATGGAAAAAACAATGACTATGAAATCAATTTTTGAGATAATTTGTACATTCTTGATACTGATGTTATGGGGTGAATGACTTGTGTTTGAATGTAGAAAAATCATAAAGCACCCAGCCCAGGTAAGTGAAGCGCAGTTCAGGCAGCCATTACAAAATATATTTGACTCTCTAAATTAGTAATGCAGTGATCATTGCCTGCAGATGTAGAAATGTTATTATGAAGAATACTAGAGGGGTTATATAAATTGAATTCATGTAGAAGGAAAAAATTTTATATTCTAGATAAGCTTTTCCTAATTTTCAATTCAAACCAAGTAGCAATAATTCAATATAGTAATGAAAGAAAATTCCTAATTAAAAAGAATCAAACAGACTTTTACCTTAGGCCAAAGGTATTTAAAATGTTTCCCCCAAACAAGTATATGATGATTTTATGATTTTTAAAAAGTCAATGAATTTTAGAAATACATTCTTGTTTTGGCTAGAGTTTAGGGTTGAGGAGGGTGGGCAGTCCAGAAGGGGTCCTCTATTGTGGGGAGGCATAACACTGGCGTACTTTACAGAAAGCACTTCCCACATTGAACGCATAACATCCAGCCTACCACAGTCTTTTCTGTGTTCTTTTCTTGAATCCTCAAGAATTCTAAAAATATTTGGGTGTGTATTTTGCATGTTCAGAGTAATCAAATCTTACAAATAGATGAAATCTTAAGAAGTTTTAGCTACATTTCCAAACTCCCACTCAGAACAGCTATTATAGACAGATGAGAGAGAGAGATGTGCTATTCCTTTTTTCCCCCATTTTGCTAGTATAAATTTGGCTGAACAAGGGAACTATAGGGCTCACTTTACCATTTTTACCAGTTCATCAAGCATTTTTATGGACCAACTAAATAAGCCTAGAAAGGGCCTCAACTGTCATCTGGTCTAATCTCCTATCTTCAAACAGGTGACATTTGATTTGTCTATTTGGAAAAAGGCATGGTTATTCCAACTGTAAGTACATATCTGGTCTTTGTTTTAATGATAATTCATTATTTACCCTTGAAATTTTCTTTCAAAGCAATTAATTTACTTGATATAAAATACCCAATGGAAGAAAAGGCCTGGAGACTTAATAAAATTGCAATTATGCCCAAACAATGTCATACTAGATTTGTGAGGTCACTATTGATAGGTGTAAAAGCAAGTAAGATTACAGATAACATTTTTAGAACAAGACCTGCAGGATCTGAGGCATGAAGAGAAAGATTAAAGGATGACGATGTTCTTATATTCCCATCCCTGAAAACAGCTATCAAAAGGCTGCAGGCATCTGGGAAAGAACTTTCTTTTTAGCTTGTAGGCCAGAAATACATTGGCATTGCCTCTGGAATTGGAACAAAATCAATTTTTAATTGGTTTTAAAATCTGGAATGGAACATTCCTGCAGTCATCCATGAACCGACCTTATCCTGTAGAAGTTGAGTGAATCTTGGCTAACCATCTGCCTTGTGAATTGTTTTGTTTGGGTCAGAGAGTACTTGCTGTGCGGTAGTTTTACATCAAGTTGCAGTCCTTCATAATATTGCTTGAGTGGAGAATTTGAAAGAGAAAAAGTCTCCTGGGAGAAAAATCAAATGCCTTCACCAATATGTCTTGGAGCTGGATGGACCCACAAGGCTGGAAATTACCACCTGCTTTCCTCCTACCTCAGCACAATGACTTCCAAAATGAAGTGCAGCTTTTGCTTGCAGATGAGAGATAGCTGAGCAAATAGACTGCATTAATGAAGGCCAAACATTGTATTTTTAAGATTGATTTTACTTAGAATTTCACTATATTCACTATTTAAAATCCAAATTTTCATAAATATGGTTGCATTCTCATAAAGTGTGCCTACTGTAAAGTAAGTGTGGAATAAAAAGGTTTATTTCTAATAGTGCTCATGAATGAGGTGTCAGTCTCCTTCTTGAATCCACTCTGTCCCCACAACAGGGAACACAAGTAAAGGAGGAAGCTAAGATGATGACTCACCCTCTCTAAAACAAAGTGGAAAACCTATTGTGGGTGAATGAGATAGTCTATACTACCTTGGTTAAACTAAAACTCCACATTCTCAGCTTGGAAATAGTTGAAGTAATAAGCCTCACAGGAACTTCTAGCATTTGAGTTTGAATGACTGACTAAGCACAAGAGATAGAAGAGCAAGAAAATCAAATTTAGCTGTCTAATAATAATAACAGATTTAATATATAGAGTTTTCAATTTTGTTATGTTTTTATATCTGGATTATCTTCCTGGGAGATGCAAAACATTAACTCCAGAGTGCGTCTTCATAGAGAAGTAAAATTTCAAGTCAGAACCCAGTAGAATGGAGTCTCTCTGAACGACAGTAGCAAGGGGTATGCAGAGATCTGCTATTTATTTGGGAATTGTGGAATGGGGTGAACCAGACACTTAAGCCAAAAGTCATCAAAACAAAAAGTAAACTATACTTGTAATCTTTCTTAAAGTATACTAATTGATAAGCATTATTAGAAAAAATACAATAGTATCCATTCCAGCCTACCAAGAGCATAATCTGTTGTCCCTATTTTAGATATGAAATAGTTTTTTTGTCTTTCTACATTTTTTTGTTCGTGCATTATGGTTGTACTTAATGATGCAATTTGTTGTTACATATTTATACATGCACAAAATACAACGATATATTTTGGCCAATATTGCTCCCCAGTGCTTTCCCTCCTCCCTCACCATCTCCCTCTCTATCCCTTTTTTCTACTCTACTGATCTCTCTTTGATTTCCATGAGATATACCCACCCCCATCTTTCTTTTCCTTTTTCCTTTGTAGCTCCCACCTATGAGAGAAGACATTCAACCCTTGACCTTCTGAGTTTGGCTTATTTCAATTAACATAATGGTCTCAAGTCACATCCATTCTTATAAATGACGTAATTCCCTTTTACTTTATAGTTGAATAAAACTCTGAATTTTTAAAATACTTACTGAAGTTAATGCTTGTCTAATATAAGGAAACACTACCTTGAATACAAGTTATTAATATAACTTATTTGATATGAATGTGTGTTCTAGAGTAAGATAACTTGGCTTCAATACCAGTTCAACCACTCACTACCTGTTAGACTTTCTGTACCTTACCATGCCTCTTTTTGCCTCTGTTTCTTCATTGGTAAAATGTGGATATAAGAATATCTAGCCTGGTGCAGTGGCACATGCCTGTAATGCCAGCAGTTCTAGAGGCTGAGAAAGGAGGATTGCGAGTTCAAAGCCAGCCTCAGCAAAAAAGTGAGGTGCTAAGCTACTCAGTGAGACTCTGTCTCTAAATAAAATACAAAATAGGGCTGGCGATGTGGCTCAGTGGTTCAGTGCCCCTGAGTTCAATCCGAGTACCAAAAAAAAAAAAAAAAAAAAGAAAAATCTATTGTACGGTGTGGTGATGAGGATTAAATGAGTTAACACTTAAAACACTAGTATCTGGTTTGTGGAAGTACTCCACAGGTATGAATATTTCATATTACACAAATGTTACAATACAGGAGACAAGCATGCAGAGTTCATAAATCCAGGCTCTGGGACTTTCATATTCACCTATAACACAGAAGGGCTTTCGGGCAAACCTCAGTCTTCCTTGCCATCCTCTATACCGACAACAGCAACCTGCCGACCAGATTCGAATGATGAACTCCAAGCCAAAGACGACAATCATCACGAACTCCTAAAATATCAGATAAGACACGTCAGAGAGAAGCACCATGGAGCAAACCACAATAGGAATCTCTGTGACTATTTCTGGACATATCCTCCATATCCACCAACTAAACATGAAGAAAATTGAATCCTCATATTGTCTGCATTTACTATCATGGGAAAATATTCCTTTTCAAGTCACTAACACTGAACATTTAAGAATCAGTTTCAACACTAAACATGCATGCCAAATAATGTTTCTGTCTCCTCTGTAATATATAGTGTAGCTGATGTTAGCTATTTAGTAACGTGAAATAGCTGAATTGAAGAGTAGACCCTAAAATATAATTGCAAGTTCTACTGAAAACAAAGCTTCCTTTTGTGCAAGGAATGACACAATCCTTAAGCTTTTAAGAGTTGTTCTCAGAGAACAAGAAGTCAATATTTAGGAGTAACTGAGCTCTTTTGTTACAGTGTCAAAATCTCCTTATAAAACTGATTTTTCTAAAGCATCACCGTGTGTAGCACGTATATCCATTGCCAGAAATGAGACCCTGAATCCTCTGAGTCTGAAGCTTGTTAATTATTATGCTGCCCTTTGGCAACAGCTGCCTGAAAAACAACACCTGCGCCAGCAAAATGACTTTGAGATTATTTAGGAAGAGTTGTGAGTTAACCCTCGGGAAAGGCCAGCTAAAGTGGCTCATTAAACAGTCAGTCATAGAAGAAAAAAAACCGAATGGAATTTGAAAAAGGAAAGTATCTCTGGAGCAAACTTAGCAGAGTCACTTGTTCCTATAGGGACAGGTAATGAATTTATTAAAATTGTTTTTTTTTTTTGAATAATTACCTTTCTAGTTTTTAAACAAGATTGACTCAGCATTTACAATGTAGACATCATTTGTTAATTGATTTTTATTACAATGGCTTAATTTTAAAAGTGGTACATACTCTTTACTGAAACTTCCAAACATCACAGACATACAGAGCATTATATAAAGACTGCAATCCACTCCTCACTCTCTCATCCCACTCCCAAGACAAAAACTGTTACCAAATTTATAAAAATGGCATTTTTGTTGCAAGTTTCAGGCAAATGTCTGTTTCTTTAGTTAGAGCGTGTGATGATGTGCTGCACTTTGGAAACATCTAGTAGAGACACCATTCTATCCTTCTGTTATCTTGTACTAAGTATTCTGCAAATATTTCTCATGATGGGAAATAAATATTCCATATTATCATTCCTTACTCACAGTGACTTAGAACTTCTCACAGGATAAATATCTGAAGACAACTTTATGCACAGATCAACAAAACTCTGGTCAATATATTTACTGATTGAGGAACTGAGAGGTATTTTTTTTATTAATTCATTTTTGAAAACTTTTTTACACAAATGGAGCACAACTGTTCATTTCTCTGATTGTACATGATGTAGAGTCACACCATTTGTGCAATCATACCCATACATAGGGGTAATAATGTCCATCTCATTCCACCATTCCCCCTCTACATCCCTGCCCCTCTGCTCAATCCAAACTTCCTCCATCCCCCCATCACCCCCCTTATGGATCAGCATCCACTTATCAGAGAAAACATTCAGCATTTGGTTTTGTTTTTGTTTTGAAAGCATATCTGTGTAATTGAGTCTATTTGTTTAATAAGGTTTCAAAAGGTGTCTGATCATCTGTTTTCATCCAGCACATCTTTCCACATATAGAAACCATGTTAAGGCCTAAAATGCCCACTTAGCTGTACTTTGGTCCAATGTAAGTTTAATGGAAGGTCCATTTTTTCCCTTAACCCTGCCCTTAACTCCTACACATGCCAGGAAGTTTAGTACCCTGGTTGTGAGACATCATATTGTGAAGGAGACACAAGAAAACCTGAAATGTCACCTGAGCCCCCTGTAGTACCATGTAATGATTTTTATTTTCCCCGGAAACAGATGGTACCAACAGATATATAACCATTGTTCTCAAGGAAAGTATGCCAAGGTCTCTGTGTTATTTCTATGGTGCAGTAAGGCAGGATAAATTAATTTTGTAAATTATTTTCTTGAGGCCAATTGTTCAAAAATATTGCTTGTTGCTGTCTATTTATTCATATTTGATGGGTTCTTTCTACCTGTGCATAAACGTGAAATTCTCTATGGTATATTTATATATAAGTGCATGGCATGATTTTTAAAGAATCATTCTGCATTGTCCCCTTACCCATCCCTCTACTGTTTCTCTCCATCTCCTTCTTCTACGCTACTGATTTTCCTTTTTATTATCCTATCCTTCCCTCCCTGTTTACTTTATTTTACTCTAGCTTCCACATATGAGAGAAAACATTTGGCTTTTGCATTTCTGAGTTTTGGTTATTTCAGTTTTGTTGCTGTTTTTTTCTCTTTAAAGAGATCAGAGAAAAAAATGGCAACATTCTTTTTTTTTTCCACCTCAGGAAGCAAAACCTTGTAGAGTTGAAAGGAGAAATATAGAAATCCTCAGTTATATTTGGGGATTTCATCACTTCCCCTTCTCAGAACTGCTGGAATAGGACTAGTGGTAAGAAAATCAGCAAGCTTATATAATATTTGAATAAAATAATAACTTATAGGATCTAATTGGCAGATATGGAATATTCCACCCAACAACAGCAGAATACAGATTTTTTTTTTTATTCTTTGTCAATGTTCTAAAGAATAGGTACCAAGATAGATCAAATCCTAGGTCATAAACAAATTCCAAAGAGTTTGAAAAAATGAAATTATACAGACTGTGTTCAAACCACAGTGAAATCAAACTTAAAATCAACAATGAAAGGACAAATCTCTAAACATGTGGAAAGTAAACCACACATTTCTTAGTAATTCATTAGTCAAAGGTAAGTCTTAAAGGAAATCACAAAATGCATAGAAGAGGAAGAAAATGAAAATACAACATACCAAAATATAAGGGATGCAGTTAAAGCAGTGCTGAAAAAGAAATTTTTAGCACTAAATATTTGTATTAGAAATAAGAAGAGGTCTAGCCATGTACAGTGTATTTGGCTGTAAGCTTAGTTACTTGCAAGGAGGTGAGGCAGGAGAACTCTGTTTGAGGTCAGCATGGGCAACATAGCAAGACCCTGTCTTTAAGGAAAAAAAAGAAAGAAAAAAAGAAAGAAAGAAAGGACTCAAACAAACAATCTAGAATCCTAGCTCAAGAAATTAGAAACACAGAGTAAAAGAAAGCAGAAAGAAGGACATGATGCAGATAAATCATGAATTGATGAAATAAGAAAATGAGCAAAAAGAAGATTCCTGACACCAAAAGTTTTGGTTCTGTGAATTTCAAATTGGTAAAGTTCTCACAAGCTGAAAAAAATCACCAATATTGGAAAAGTAACAGAGGATCTCACTAGAGGATCTCACTGTAGATACTACAGCTCTCAAAAATAATATACTATGAATAAATTTAGCTAAATAAACATCACAAATCTGAAGACATTGACCAAATCCATGAAACTCAATAAAGAAGAAACAAATAATGTGAATAGTCCTATAATCTCCAAAGAGATTGAATTTGTAGTTAAGAAGCTTTCAAAAAAGAACTGTCCAGGCCAGAAGATTTTACTGCTGAAGTTAACCAAATTTTTAAAGGAAAATTATGCCAATTTCACACAATTCTTTCCCGAAAATAGTAAAGGAGAAAATACTTTTGGATTCATTTTTCTTAAAGAGACAGGATCTCATTATTATGTTGCCCAGGCTGGCCTCGAACTCCTGGGCTCAACCAATCCTTCTGCCTCAGTGTCCTCAGTAGCTGGGACTATAGGTGTGTGCCGCTATATTTGGTTAAAGGATACAAAAACAAAACAAAACAAAAACAACAAGCCAATATCTTTAATGAAATTAGAAGCAATAATCTTCACAAAATTTCAGCAATTTGGACCCATCAATTTATAAAAATATATATACCATAAACAAGTAGAATTTATTCCAGGTATTCAAGGACAGTTTAATATTTGAGATCAATGTATATAATGCAGTATATCAACAAACTAAAGAAGAAAAAATATAACCTTATCAATTGATGCAAAAAAAAGTCTTTGACAAAATTGAATGTATATTCATGGTAAAAACTCACAACAATTTAGGAATAGAGAGTGATAATCTCAAGTTGATAAATCATACCATAAAAACCCTACAGCTAATATCATATTTAATGGCAAAAGACTGGCTGCTTTCCTCTAAAATCAAGACTGAGGCAAAATATCTACTTTCAACACTTTTATTCAACATTGTTCAATAAGTCATTGTCCTTGCAAGAGGCAAATAAAAGGCACACAGTTGGGAAAGGCAAACATAAAATGGTCTCTATTTTCAGATAACATGATTGTCAATAAATTTCAAGGAATCTACAAAGACACTCTAAGAACTAATAAGCGAGTTCAGTAAAGTTGCAGGATATATGACCAAAATGAAAAAGTCAATCACATTTCTGTATACTAACAAAAAGCATGTGAAAATTAAAAACATGATATTATTTACAGTTATTCCAAATAAAAATAATAATTAAATTTATACTTAGTAAAACATGTGCAGTTTATATGTGCTGAAAATTACAAAATGCTGATGAAAGAAATCAAAGAAGACCTAAATAAGTGGGGTGAGATACTATTTTCATAAATTGCAAGACTTGACATACTTAAAGTTGCTAATTCTTCCCAAATTGATCTATAGATTTGATGAAGTTTCTCTCAAAATGTCAGCAAAGCATTTTTGGGAGATAGAAATAAACTTATTCTAAAGTGATATGGAAATTCACAGGCCTTAGAAGAGCTAAAATAATCCTAAAAAAGAAGAATAAAGCAAAAGGAATCACTTTAGCTGATATTAAGGTCTACTACATAACTCCAGTAGCCAAGATTGGATGGTATAGGGAGAGGTATGGACACACAGAACAGTGTATCAGAATAGAGAACTCAGAAATTGGTCCACACAGACATACTGATTTTTGTTAAAGTTGCAGAAGCAATTCAATGGAGGAAGAACAACCT